CCTCCCTGACCTGTTGGCTCCTCTAGAGTTTTTATGCTGCTCTACCGTTTTCAGAAGTCGTATTGTGCACCAAAAAACAAAACACAAAACACTCGAAGGGGAACATAAACTCAAATGCTTTAGATTCCTCTAAATTCATCTCTTCATTATGCAGTTTTACCTGTTCAGTGAGGACTCTGCTACTCTGACCTCTGTCATTACCTTGTGCACATGTGGATCACGCAGCATCCCAGGGAGAGGCCCCACCTGACGAAGCTGACCTCCAGCAGAGACTCCCAAAGGCCCCCACCTACTGGGCCACTCGCCAGGCCTCACCTTCTACCCTGCCGGGGTCCAGCTGGCCCTCGTCACAGGACGACCTTCCGGGACTGGCTCTGTCCACGCTCACAATGCGCACCAACTTCTGCGGGGCCCCGGAAGACTGCCAAAGCGGGGCGGGAGAGGTCAAGGAGGGTGGCTGAGGTCATCAGTAGCACCCACCCCATAGGAAAATCAGTGTGGTCCCTGCACTGTCAGGCTACACCCTGAACAGATGCCCAGGGTAGGAGGCAGGAGAGGGTCCTCAGGAGACAGGCTCAGGCAGGGCTCTGCAGAAGCCAGAGGGTGGCACCAGGACCCCATAGCCTAGCACTGCTGTGCTCCACAGAGGACAGGCCCAGCACGGGAAGAGGTCAGCACTCAGCAGCCTGCAGAGCACCCTGTCCTGAGAACACAACTGCCTGACCTTGGAGGAAATGAGAGGGAGAAGAACAGGCGAACAGGGTGGCTTGGGACACGACACCCAGAAGCAGTGGCTTTGGCAAGCAGGACCCAACCTGCAGGCCGGGTGAGGGGCACAGACCTCAGCAAAGCTGGCAGAGGCCCATGAAGGAATGGACGCTAACACTTTCACCGAGGGACCCTGGCCAGCTCCCTCCCAGCCCATCCCAGGGGGCCAGACCCTCCCTGGAGTCTCACCTTGCGGGTGACCGTGCACTGCTGAGTCATGTCCTGGATGAGGGCGATGAGGCGCTGCTGAGCCCTGTGTGGACAGGAGAGGCCCTGACCTGCTGCTGGAGCTGCCTGGGCCAGGAGCGCTGGGCAAGGGAAGTGGCTCGGGGCGAGGGTGCCCCACCCTGGCAGCCCTTGGAGTCCAAGGGGCTCGAAAAAGACACCAAAGCCTTGGCCCACTCCTGCAGATGCTAGTTTAATTTTGCACAAGTGGCAGCCAGGGGCCAGAGCCTGCTTTCGAGCCTTGATTCTTGAAGTATGGGCGAGGCAGACAGCAGGCCTGGGACGTGCAGGGTTGCAGCCTCTCCTGGGCACTCTAGTTTTGATCTGGCCATGGGGAGGAGCAGGGCTGGGCTGCATGGCCTCTTCTGTGCATTTGGACCCTTGAGCCTAGGTCAATGCTTCAATGCAGGTCCCAGGGGCCCAAGCACTGGGCTCAGTTTGCCCAGGACAAAGGAATTGTCCCAGACATGAGGCTTTTAGTCCTGGGAAAACCAAGAGAATTGGTCCCTCCACCCCAGGGGACACTTGGTAATGCATGGAGACATTTTCAGCTTTTACAGCTGGGAGCAGGGTGCTACTGGAATCTAGTGTGTGTGAAGGCCAGGGATACTGCCAACATCCTGCAGTGCCTGGTGCCACACCAGATGTCAACGGCACTGAGAAGCATCCATCTAAAATGCTCTCGAATGACCTGAGGTCAGTGTCCTTGAGACAGACACTGCCACAAGCACCCTGTCTGCAGCAGTAGTCACGATGGGATTCCCCTCTGGGGGGGGGGTCCACCTGCCCCCCCTTTGTTCCTGGGCAGGAGGCTCTTCTGTAGGGAGAGAAGCCTCCAGAGCAGGTGTTATCCCGTGGGGCTCTTTGGGGACACACAGACCAGGAAAGCTGCTCACTGTGAGTATTTGGGGATGGTGCCACGCTCTGCAGCCTTCATGGTGTATGGGTTGACACGGTGTGCATGCCAGCAGCTGCGGCTCTGGAACATGGTGTCGGTGACGTGCAGGATGTCATTGCAATATACCTGTAGCTCCCCCTCAGCCCTCGCCTGCAGGGCCAGGTTGACCCGGATGTAGAACGAGTCCCCTGAGGTTACCACTTTGGCCTCCAGGTCCTGGACCAGCTTCTTATAACCTGATAAAAAAAGAAAACCTGAAGGACTAATGAGCACAGACCCCTGAGCCCACACAGGGAAGGTTCTAGAAGGTGAATGTGGGAGGGAAAGAAGGTCTCCCCAACGTCTCAGAAGCTGCTCTGTGGTGCTGGACTTAGGCGGGGGCTCCCAGCCACCTTGGGGGACCCAGGGATGGGGCACAGTCTGGTCGGGCTGCTCCTGGCTGTGGGTGGGCAGGGTGTGGCACAGCCGGGCTGAGATGCACTGGACGAGAGGCACCTGTACCCTCAGTGTTGACCTTCACGGACAGGCAGCAGAAGCCAGTCACCCTGCAGAGGAGCCTGACTGCCTGCTCCAGGGTGGTATTCTCCAGGGTGGCCTTGAACGAGGGTGTTGACGCCTCATGGTCCACCTGAGGGCAAAGTGTGAGGGCAGAGGTCTTGATGACCAGGACTCTACAGTCACAGCCTGCATTCAGGATGCTCGGGCAGGTGCAGGCAACCCTACTTAAACCCTTCTGACTGTCCCCGGCCACCATGTGCCTCGGCCAGGCACGCAAGCAGAGTCAGGACCCTCCCCAGGGCTGCAACATAGCCCCTGCTGCTGCATGGGTGCCCAGCACACGTTTCTGCCTGAGACTCATCGCTCATCCTCTCCCTTCCCCACGGAGGACAGGTTCTCTGTGACGACCATCTCTCTGGCTCAGGATTGAACCCAGGGTCGGGGTCTTCCTACCGAACTGTATCCCCAGCACTGTTAATTTTTTCCGTTTTGAGACAAGGTCTCACCAAGTTAAATTGCCCAGGCTGGGCTCAAACTCTTGATTCTCTTGCCCCAGCCTCCCAGGTGTGCTCCACCACACCCAGCTCACACACCCTCTTCTGTAAGAGAGTGCAGCCCTCCCATCAGCCCGGGACAGCCCGCAACGTCAGGGCAGCACACCTGCCCCAGGAGGGCCTGGGGAGTCCTGGCTACCAGGCCTTGCTCGCTCACCATCACAATCTGGGTGCCTGGGCGCAAGGCCATCTCATCTGCTGCTGATCCCGGGGTGACCCGGTGAATGAAGATGCCTGTGAAGTTCCCGCCAATGACCCTGATCTGCTCCAGCAGCGCGGCCCCCTGGAACGCCAGCACTGTGACCTGACTCAGGATCTTTCGCGCTGGCCTCCGCCGCCGCACAGTGGCTGTGACGCTGCTACAGGGACAGAGGGCCGCACGGCACTGCCCGGTAGGTGTGGGGCAAGGCCACTCCCCTTCGCCCCTCGTCGTAGCAGCTGGAATTCTCCTCCCCACCTCGACCCATCTTGGAAAGGCTGTCACCTCCCCACGGTGAGGGGGTGCAGTCACACTCTGCTGTCACCTCCGGAAGCAGCACTGCTCACCTTTCTGAGATGTCGAGGCTTCTGGGAGACCACTGCAGGCTGCCCTCGGACTCGGGCAGGTCTGGGACGAAAGCGGGAGCTGAGCGGCCCGGCGTCAGGGTCGCCACTGCCACCTCCGTAATGGCGCACAGCCCCTCCCCAGACACCGAGCACCCCTCACCCGCCCATCTCCTCTGCTGAGACTGACGTTCTCCTGCTCCCTTCCCTCTGTGCATCACCTTAACTTCACCTTTCCTAAGATCAGAGTAGTGTGCGCCGCAGGTCCTTTTGTGACATTTGAATGAGTTGCCAGTGTCCTCAGTCAAGGACAGGCAGGTTTCACCCAGAATCTGGATTTCTGGTTTCACTTAAAAATCAAATCACGCCCTGCATGGCCCTGCATTTCTGCACGGCAGCAATCACTGGCACTGGGCAGGGGCCCCCAGGCAGGAGCATATTGATCGCAGCCTGTGGCCCCGAGCGGGGGCAGCCCCCACAGAGGCCCGTTGCTGTGCTTCTCAACCAGGAACAGCCTGTGAGAACCAGGTGGCCTGGGCCCAGCTCACAGGCAAAAATCCATTTAAAGCCAAGTGAGCTGGGCATGGGGACACACACCTGTGATCCCACCATTCTGGGAGGCTGAGACAGGAGGACTGCAAGTTTCAGCCCAGACTGGGCAATTTACGGAGACCTTGTCTCAAAATTTAAAAAATCAAAAAGGGCTAGGGATGTAGCTTAATGTACAGGTGTTGGGTTCAATTCCCAGTATCAGGGAAAAAAATTATACACTGTGGATATATTCGAGGTTATTTCCCAATATCAGGATGTGAAGCTGAGGCATTATCCAGAATCCCAAGAGTAGAAAACTAAAGAGGAGGGCCAGGGACTTAGCTCAGCGGTTCTGGTGCCTGCCTCAAAAGCGCAAGGTCCCAAGTTCAATCCCCAGTACCAAAAAAAAAAAAAGAAGAAGAAGAAGAAGAAAAGAAAACTAAAGAGGAATAAGCCCTCCTTATTCATGATCTCACATCCAGGCTTTTTTTTTTTTTGAGACAAAGTCTCGCTTTGTGGTGTAGGCTGGCCTTGAACTCACTATGTAGGCCAGGTTGGTCTTGAACTCATGGCGATCCTCCTGCCTCAGCCTCCTGAGTCCTGGGATTACAGGCCTGTGCCACCACTCCTGGCTTAGGCTAAATTTGCCTTGAGTGGCACTGTTACAAATAAAAATGTGTATGGGTCTGCAACAGTTGAGGTTTCTGGTCACCTGACTCTTCTCTGTCCCCCCAGGTAAGGGGTACAGAGCTCTGTGGGGTGTTGGTGTCCCTTGGTGGCCAAGAAGTGGCTTCCAGGCAGAAGGTAAGCTGGAGCCAGGTGTGCAGTGAGAGGGGAGGTGAAGTGGCTACACCCAGGACTCCCAGACTGGAGAAGGAAGCAGCCCCAATACAGGTTCAAGGAAATAAGCCCCAGGAGAGGTGTGAGAAGGCTCAGGGGCCAGCATCCGAGAGGAGGGTTGCTCTCGGTGAGTAGAGTCAGCCTGTGCCACTGCATCTGCTGGGAGCCTCTGGGACCCTAAGCCTGAGTGTGCACAGAGCAGAGCGCCGGGAGGGGGCCGAAGTGTCTTCGGACATCAGAACAAGTGTGCTGAGCTAGCCACACCTAGGAGTACAGCTCCCTCGGCCTCCAGGTAAGAAACAAAGACTCCAGTGAAATGAGCTTGGGATTGAGCCACCAGGCAGGCTGGTTTTCCTGGTGGCTCAGGTCAAGGTCAAGGCCTGGGGCTCGGGTCTGTTCTCTCCTACCTGCCAGGCTGTCTTACGTGCATCCCTGACACCCTGGGCCCTCACATTCCCCGCTCCAGAGAGGCTTTGGTGGCCTGGGGTGCACCCACCTGCCTTGTCGAGGATCTCGTAATCCAGTTCTGTATCTTCACCCTTAGGCCCTGGAAGGACTCCCGGGTCCACCTCCAGGATTTCTGGGAAGCTGCCGCAAAGCATGGGAGCAGCTCAGGCTATACCAGCTGCTCTGTCTGAGGCCTGCAGCCCCCAGCACCTTCCTGAGCAACCATACCCAATACCCAGAGGGGGCAGGGTTTAGCTCAGTGTCCCCCACTCTACCTTAAAGACTCGGGGTCTTCCCGGAAGGCCTCTGCCATCCGCTTGTACAGGGACTGCTGGCTGGGGGGCACAGGGCTGCTGGAGCGGAAGCTGTCGGACAGCTCACGGCTAGACGTGGTGCTCAGGTCCCCCCAGAGCTGTGACTAGAGGAGAGAGCCGAGGAGGGTAAGGAAGACCACAGGTGTCGAGCACCTACTGTGTGCCAGGCGTTCCAGGGCTGCTTTCTGGCTTCATAGCGTGGCTTCCGGGGAGATGGGCATTTCAGTTCCATTTCACATGTACAGCAAATGAGGCCCAGAGACACAAGGCTACTGGGTGTGAGGGGCGGAGCAGGAGCCTATTGGAGGGAGGCTGCGCCCACAGCAGAGACTGATGAGAACAGCAGGTGTACACAGCAGATCTGAACCCACTTACTGAATCCATGTGCCAGGCCTTCGCCAGTGTGGACCGGCCCCTGAGGACAAGCATTATGCCCAGGGTGGGGGATCGGTGGTCAAACACAGACCCGTGAGGGGAGTCGGTCACACCAAGGATGTAGGTGACACTGGCAGGGCAGGAGGTGGACAGACTTCCTGGGGAAAGTGACAGAGGAGCCCGGTGTGTGTGTGGTGCGTTCCAGACAGAGTGACCGCACTGCAGAGACCCAGAGGGACAGACTACACAGCCCCAGATGGGGGAAGCAGGGAGAGGGAGGCGAGAGAAGGCAGCCGATCTGCACGAGTGGGCTGCAGGGGGAGCTCAGAGGGAGCCACATGCTGGGTGTGGTGGTGCAGTCTGTGATCCCAGCTACATCCCGGGCCTTTCAAAAGGTTTTTATCTTGAGACAGGATCTCACTAAGTCACTAAGTTGCCAGAGCTGGGTCCAAACTCATGATCCTCCTACCTCAGCCTCCCAGAGTGCTGGATTACAAGTGTGCACCCCTGCACACAGCCTGACTGGCGGTTTCTAAGAGGAGAGGAATTTGGACACAGACAGAGAACAGCATTGCATGAAGATGAGGACAGAGACTGGAGGGAGCAGCCACAAACAGAGGACTGTGAGGAGCAGCCAGAGGCAGGAAGAGCCCCGCACCCGTAAAGCACGTGGGAGCTGCTGCTGCTGCTGCTGGGCCCAGGGTGGAGGGAGCCTGCAGCAGCACTGATGGGGCACAGGCTGGGCTGCATGCACAGGAGGGGCAGCAAGGCAGGAGCCACGTACCTCGGTGGAGCCCTGAAGGCTGCTGTCACTGTCATCCCTAGGGCACACGGCGTACATCCGTGTCAGCTTCTGCTTTCCCCGAGGACAGGCCGCCCGGGGCTCAGCTTCCTGCTTGGGCTGCCAGAGATGGCCAGACAGGCTTGTGAGCTCAGGAGAGAGGGTCCCCTGGGATGCGGGGGGCTTTCCACCAGGCCACACCTGCCCTGCCATCCCTGCCCTCATCAGCATTGAGGTAAAACAGTTCTGTCCCTGTCCTCAGAGCAGGGGACCGCAGGGGCACAGGACATCACCAAGGAAGCTGGAAGACCCTGACCTGCTAAACAGCATTTCATTTCTTGTAGAGAATGTACACTGTTATTGGCTAGTTATAAAAATAATCTTTATGATATAGGGTATGCACATGCATCTGCATAGAAAAGTGAGGGGGAAACAGATCCAATTAGGGAAGAAAATACAATTCACTCACCATCCATACTCAGAATTGGCACAGCTTGTATTTTGGTGGCTGTCCTCCTGTCTTTTTTGTACACACACACACACACACACACACACACACGCACGCACATGCATGCATAATACAAATACTATGAGCATAGTTGATGTGGGAGCTGCCTGTGGAGGGGTGAGGAGGCAGGGCTGGGCCTGGCTGACCCCTGGCAGGGAAGGGAGGGTCCACCGTGGCCCACCCTGGGCCACACAGCACTCACCGGAGCCTCCGGCTCTGCCTGCAGCTTGCGCAGCTGAGTACGCAGCTCACAGACCTGGTCGGTGAGCTCGAACACTTTCCTGCGGAGGGAGTCCTTCTCCAGCAGGCTCTGAGAAATCTCCATCTGGGCTCCGTCCCTCGAAGCATATGCCTGCGGCCCCAACAGGATGGACAGGATGGATGGACAGACAGGACAGATGGGTGGAGACAGTGAGAGACCCAGCCAGTGGGCCCAGGGAGTCTCAGCTGGAGACAGCATCCCACTGCTTGTCACATTCATTGTGAACTCACCCAACACACACTAACCAGAGCTCACGCTGAGATGTACATACAAACCTACAATCTACTGTAATTCGTGATGTCATACAGGATTTTTTTTGTTTTGTTTTCCCAGGACTGGGATTGAATCCAGCTCTCTGCCACTGAGCTACATCCCTAGCACCTGCCTTTTTGTAGACAGGGTCTTGCTAAGTTAATTGCCCAGGCAATATTCGAACTCACTATCCTCTTGCCTCCGCCTAAAAAGTGCTGGGATTACAGCCAGCCAGCACTGCACCCAGCTGTATGTGGTTTTAATAAAACTTGCTCTTGGGGGTGGACTTTCACACCATCCTCTGCCAGGTATAAGTCAGGGAAGGGGGCAGAACACGTCTGTAGAGGCCAGGATGGGGGAGATAAGAGCCCTCATGGGGACCACGGAAAGAGACTGTGAAATCTTGAACCAGAGACCCTCAAGGACAGGCGGAGCCCGAGGCTTCCCTGAAGCAGCAGCCCTCAGATACAGCTTGGGGCAGAGGGAGTGCAGGGGCTTCTCAAGCTGAGGCCCATTGGGTTGGCGCCAGTGTCCACCCCGGCCCTATCCCGCCTCCCTCCCAGGGTCACCTGGTCTCGCTCCTTCTGCAGCTCGGCCACCTGCTCCTGAAGCGTGCTCATCTTCTCCCTGTACAGCTCACAGTCCACCTGTGTCTTCCGGAACTGCAGCAGGGTCTGCTCTTTCTCCTCCCAGTACTGGACAGAAGAGACCGGGCCCCTGGGGTCAGGGGCTACATGGGCGGGGCGGGGTGGGCCCCAGAGGAGAAGAAGGTAAATTCATCTCCTCCCTGCAGGGCTGGGCTTAGAGGAGCATTTGCAGGGCTGCTATGTGGATTGAATTGAATTTGGTCCCTGAAATGTGCATGTGTGTTGCGTGCAGAGCTGTGTTTTATTTAATGTTCTCAAATACACAGATAGCTCCCCCCCACAACACACCTTATTCTCTTCCACTGCCTCCTTTCTCTCCACCTCCTCTTGTCTAAATCCCTGGCTCTCACAGGGCTCCCCAAGCCCTTAAAATCACCCTGGGTTTCATCCCTCATTTGCCTGACTGTGACCTCTAGTCTGGGCCATGAGTTGCTGCTCACTGCAGAGGAACAAGTGAGCAGACTGGCAAAATATTTAAGCAAAATTATTTCACCTCAGCGTGGTGGAGAGATCTACCTCCCCTCCACGAAGCCCAGCCTCGGAGACAAAGGGTCACGGGTCCCAGGAAGGCAGCCACAGCATCACCTGCTTTCGCTGCCTCTCTGCGGCCACCGCCCGCTCCCGCAGTGAGTGGATGCGGGCCACCAGCTCCTGCTTACTCTCCAGGGCCTCGTCCAGGTTCTGCTCCAGAATGTCCTTCTCCACCTGGTCAGAAAGATGTCAGCCTAGGACCTTCCCTCCCCAGCTGCCTGCCTCTGGGGAGAACGGGCCCTGAGTGTCCAGCACAGGAGGATTCAAGGCCAAGTGTGTGGATGGATAGTGTCACCTATTAACCCCAATTAGGCAAGAAAAATGCCACCGGAAAAGTGTGGGTTCTGATCATACATGGTCAAAGAGATGTGTGTGATAGAAGCTGAAAGTCTTTTAGGATGACAATTCCTCCTTTAAAGTATTCTAGCGGGGTGTAGTGATGCAGGCCTGTAATTTCAGCACTCAGGAAGGAGACAGGAGGATCACCATGAGTTCGAGGCCAGCCTGGGCTACATAGTGAGATCCTGTCACAAAAATCAATCAATCAATGGTTTGCAAAATTCCAGGCTTCCATGCTGCCAATTCCTCTACTTCCCATAATGCTCAGGAGGGGGACAGGGGGGCAAAAAGCCTTCTGGAAAGGAGTTTTTTCCCTAATCCCATCCTTTATTGCCAGCCCAGTCACCTCTGAAACCACATGGGAGTATCGCACTGGCCAAGTAGGACATGCTAATGCACGTCCAGCCATGGTCTGGGCGGCTGGGGAGGAGGACGGGGTGGCCTGCATTTCACCTTGCCTGGTTCTTAGACTCACCTTAGCGAGACCACCTGTCAGAAGTCCTGTGGCCGGGGAGCCGCCTGCTGACGGTGGGGACAGTCCCAGCTAGAGCCCAGGCCAGAGGGAACCAGAGCCTACCAGGCTGAAGGTCAGCGAGCGGAGCTTCTCGTTCTCCTCCTTCAGGCGGCTCAGCTCCTCGTCCCCCGACTCCAGGGTGCTGGCCATCTTCAGGGATCGCTCTCGGAACTCCCATTCACAGGAGGACACCATGTCCACCCGCTGCAGCTCCTGCCTCACCAGGTACAGCTGTCCAGGGAGGAGGGAGGAGGACAAGGTGAGTGGTTTCTCCACTAGAGCAGAAGCCGTGTGGGTTCTCCACCCTCCTCCTGATGGGGTGCTGCTTAGACACAGGGGCCCCACCCCATGATTTAAGAATATACCTAGCCAGGCACAGTAGCACAGGCCTGCAATCCCAGCACTCTGGAAGGCTGAGGCATGAGGACTGCAAGTTCAAGCCCAGCCTGGGCAACTTAGTGAGATCCCGTTTTAAAATAAGTTTTAAAAAGGCTGGGGATGTAGTTCAGGGTGAAGGCCCTGGCTTCCATCCTCAGTATTCCAAAACTAAATAAATATTTATAAGTCAATACATTAAAACAACCCAAGGGTTGGTTTTACCCAATGAACAGTCCCAATTCCTCGGGCAGGAGAAAGGCATTTTAGTTTCATTTTGCACATGAGGTACAGGGTTAACACCTAGTGGGGTGCCCTGGAACAGACCGAGGGCCCCCAGTGCCCGGCTTCTCTGTCTTGCTGGTCGCCAGCATCAGTGACGGTAGGCCAGCATGCTCCCTGGCTTCACAGTCTTCCCACATTCCAATTACATGAAGGGAATGGGGTTCATGAAAATCAGTAAGAGAAAAGAGAGAGGAAAGTCAAGCCAGCAGGAAAGGGGAAGCTGGGAAAAGCCACACCTGGACTATTCAGACAGCGCGTGACACGGGCGAAGCAGTTGTGAAACCACTTTTGATGCACTATAGGACTGAGCAAGTAAGTGAACATGTGGGAGATGCTGAGACCTGGTCTCCCAGGAAAGGAAGAAGATATGAGTGTGGGAGAGGTGGAAACTCATGATTTCTGGAATAGATATGGGACGTATGTACCTGTGGATGTATGTGTGCACACATGTGCATGGGTACATACGTATGCATGGGTGGATATAGATATGCGTCCTGCAGATGTACATGTGTGTGCACACATGTGCATGTGTCGTGTAGGCACATGTGGACATGTATACTTCTACAGTGTGCATGTGTACAGGTGTACCTTTATATGGACATAATACATGTGTACATTTATATGTACATATAGGTGTGTGGGTCACATGGACCTGTATTTTTATGGGTGCACACATTTATACACATATGTGTACACGTGTGGGGTGCATTGCACATGTGTGTTTACATGCACATGTGCACAAATATATGTGTATTAACATAGATGTGTGCTACACATATGTCTCCTGCTCTGTGTGCTGCAAAGGGCCAAGTACCCAGATCTTGTTTTCTAAAAGGACCCCAGAGCTGGGGCAATGTGGGGCCAAGATGATCCTGGAACTTCTTAGAGGCTAGAAAGGAAGTCAGTGCTGAGAAAATCAGAGAGCCCTGTCCCAGGGCTGGAGCAGGCTGCAGGGTTCCCGGTGGCCAGGTCTGTGGTCATTTGAGCATCAGCTCACTAAGGAAGGGAACACACAATTGGCCACTAGAAAATAGGGACCCCAGTCTGTGCCAACAGCAGACTGCACAGTGGGGAGAAGCAAAGGCACTTCCCCAGCCTGAAGCTGAGGCCAACTGCAAGTGAGCGGGAGCTGGCGCCATGGGCAGCATCCGTCACCACTTGGGTCAAGACGGGTTCAGTCAGGAAACAGCACAGGTAAGTCTGGGGGAATCGCCGGGGCACAGCGGGTGTGGCGGGTCTCGAATCACTTCCCTGCCATTGCTTACTCGTTGCAGGGAAATGGTGCTTCTGCAGTGCAGAGATGGGCAGCCCTGGAGCGGTGGTCTGCATTGACATCCCTCAGGGCCAAGGAGGCTCCAGCATCCGCCTTGCAGGGCCAGGCCAAAGATGCAAGATCTCACCCACCCACCCACAGGGAGACACGAGAAGAAGCCCAAATGAGTGGCCTATTACAAGGAAGGGCCAGGTGTGGTGGGCACGCCTGTGATCCCAGCACTCAAGAGGCTGAGGCAGGAAGACTGATTCCTCGAGTCCCAGGCCACCCTGAACTACACAGTGACGTCCTGTCTCAAACAAACACAAACAAAAACAAAACACAAATAAGCAACAACAAGGGGAGGGGGGTGTAGTCTTCAAAAACATCCATCTTGTAACAGACACGGAAAGGGTGTGGAAATGTTTCTGAATGAAGGACGCTAAACAGGCAGCATGGTAATAATGTGTGACCCTGGACTGGACGGGAAAGGCTACCCAGGGCATGATTTAGGTCAAGGAAAAAATAGGAATACACGAAAGCGCAAGGACCAAGTTCAAGTGCCGGTACCAAAAATTAAAAAAAAATTTTTAAATAGGAATACAGGCTGTAAATTGGGTAAAAAGATAAAAATCAATGCAAATTGATGAAATTGATAACTGCTTCTATGAGAGAATATCCTGTTTTTAGGAAATGTACATTGAACTCTGGGAACAAAGACCCATGAGCTATGTAACTCAAGGGATTCAGTGCGTGCCTCTGTGTGAAAAGACAGGGATAATATGAAAATGAAAGCAAGGGTATTCTGAGCATTCTTTGTATTCTTTTAAATTTTAAAAATAAATTTGTAATTATTCATAAGTAAAATTTAACATCCAAAAGCAAACAAAAGATCCATGTGTGGAGGTGCACGCCTGAAGTCCTAGCTACTGGGGAGGCTGAAGCAAGATCACAAATTCAAGCCCAGCCTGGGCAATTTAAGGACTCAGCAAGACCCTGTCTCAAAATAAAGACAGAAGCCAGTGCGGTGGTCAAGCCTGTAAGAAGGCTGAGGTGGGAGGATTGCCATGAGTTCGAGCCCAGCCTGAACTACACAGTGAGACCCTGTCTCAAAAAGAAATACATACATAAATAAATAAATAGGGCTGAGGATGTAACTCGGTGTAAAGGCCCTGAGTTCAATCCCTAGCACCACAATAAATGAATAAACAAATAAATGCATACAAGTAGCATAATTAAAAGCAAGGAGCATATGCCAAAATGAGAACGGATATCCTTGATACCTGAAGAACTCTTATAAATCAATACGAAGTTCATTAACCTGCCAGAAAACATGTGAAACACCCAACCAGGGCCGAGGAGGCCTGACCTGACCATGTTCTTATCCTCCCATCCTGAGCCCGGAATCAACTGAGAAGGGCAAAGGCGGGTGCTAGGGAGGGAAGGTGCCTGTGTCCCTGCCCGGGGGGGCAGTGGCTCCCAGGTGGGCCTGGTAATGTGGAGCGTCGAACAGCCAGGCCTTTCCCAGACTCACAGCCAGGCCAGCCAGCCCATGGGCAGTTATGGGGCAAGGCCAGGCTCTGGGGTATGCAGAGGGTCCCAGGTGGCCACCTGGGGAGAGGTGGGGTCAGCTTCCAGGAGAGGCCTCAGCCACAGCTGTGGGGGCTGGGCGAGGAGGGGAACACACTCTGGGCAGCTGCACCAGCACATGCAAAGGCCCAGAGGAGCACGGTCAGGCTGGGCCTCCTGCCCGCAGGCGCGGGGCATCCCGCTACCTCCTCCTGCAGGCTGCGACAGCGCGTGGTGGCCAGCTCCTTCTCCTGCAGCGCATTGCTGTAGCGCAGGGAGAGGCTCAGCATCTCGTCCTTCAGCTTCAGCACCTCGTGGAAGTGGGCGCTGGCCTCGTGCTTCATGCGACTGTGGTCGGCCTCCAGCTGGCGCAGGCCCTCGACGTGAGCCTCGGCCAAGCCCAGGCGCTCCTGCAGCCTCTGGCACTGCTGCAGCAGCGTCTCCTTCTGGGCTTTCTCCTGGGCCAGTTCCTCCTGCAGGCTGCCAATGGCCCCGGCCAGGCATGCAGTCAGCTTGGATGTCTCCATGAGGCCTGGCAGGGAAACCGGTGGGTGGGCTGTGACACTGTCCCTTTGTCTCCTGTCCCCAGCCTCCTGTACCTTTGGGTCTTGTGCCCAGACCCAAGCAGGAACAGCCTTAACCTGTTTGGCTGGAGCCTCAGCTGGACTTCGTATTTTAATTAGATAAATAGCATGGCATGACCTTGGTACAGGGATTACTGCTCTTCCCCTTCCTATGAGAACTGGCTTTTCAGACCCAACTCCCTCCTCACATGCTGAGATACCTCAAAACTGACTCATTGTTTTTTGTTTTTTGTTTTTGTTTTGCATGGTACTGGGGATTAAACCCAGGACCTCACTCTTGATGGGCAAGGGCACTGTCACTGAGCTACATCCCCAGCCATTTTTATTTACTTTTAAGATGAGGTCTTGCTAAGTTGGGCAGGCTGGCTTTGAACTTTTGATCCTCCTGCCTCGATATCCCACATGGCTGGGATTACAGGTGTGCACTACATGGGATGGCCTTTTCCACGCCAGCTCCAGGAAGACATGCTAATAGATGTGAGTCTGTGAATGGGACTCTAACATAAACACATGCTGCAAGGGTAAAGAGGAAGAGAGGGTTCACCACCCACTGTTCTGAGCGCTGTGAGCCCTGCTCTTTAAATACCTGCATCGTTCAGCAGCTCCTACAGGTGGCCTAAAATCACTCAATTAACAAAAATGGCCTCATCCTCCACGAGGGAGGCATAACCTTTACTTGGGTGAGTGTGGCGAAGTACAGCAGGCTCCACTCCCTTTTCCCCTTGGGAAGGGACTTGGTTCCCCCAGAGCTGAGAGGCTGGGGCTACAGCTGCCCCATACACCTCAAGAGAGACGCTTGGCCTATGGCCGGGAATCCAAGTCAGCGGCCCCAGGTGTACTTGTGATGCTGGGTGAGTAAAGCCCGACCCTGCAAAAGCCAAGGTTGGGGCTCCTTCTCCTACTTGTCCCATGCGATGAGTGGGGGAGTGCCAGGCTCAGGCCAAGACTCCTGCCTGGAGGGAGGCAGGAGAACCCTGGGCCAGCTCGGGCCAGATGGGGCCCCCAGCTCTGGGATGGCCCTGCCCACTCTTTCAGAGGCCAAGCACTCACCGCTGAAGTTGCTGAAGTCCACATCGGGCTGTAGGCCAGTGACCAGCGTGTAGACATCGGGGTTGTGGAACTTCAGGCTCTCCAGGAAGGCAAGGGCCCCGTTCTTCCCTCGAGTCTTCAGCAAATCCAGCAGGTGCCCTTAGGAGAGAGGGAGAGCACATGCTTGAGCCACTGAGGCTGCAGTGCACGCCAGGCTGGCTTCCCGTGAGTGGGGTTGGGGTGGAGACGTCCCTGCGCATCTGGCACGGGGGTGAAAGCAGTTCTCTGGGATTTCTGGGCAGGCTGGGGCCTCCTTGCTCCTGTACACTCCATCACGTGACTCAGCCACCCCTAGGAGACCAAATTCGCATTTATTGAGCAACTACTATGGACAACTCAGGATGAGGACATGTGCAGACACATGGTCCCAACACAGTGCTCTGAGAGCTGTTGGTACCATGAGGAAATAGCAAATAGCAGCCCATGAGGCCCCAGGGGTGGCCCCAGAGAGCCTGGATGCATCCCAAACACAGGGTCCAAATCCCATCTCCTCAGCTAGAATCAGTCCTGGGTGAATCTCTCCCATATTGGAGGTCCACGACTCAACATGCACATGCATTATATGTTAATAGCTATCACTTCCTGTCTGGTTTCCACGGCCCAGGGCTGTCATGAGCATCCCCAATTTGCGGTGAATAAACACAGCCTGAAAGACCATGAGAACTGACTCCAAGGTTTCTGCAGTGGGTTGAACAGCAATCCCCCCACACACCAAAGATCTAAATTTCTTTGGAAAATGGATCTTTGTGGATGTAATTAAATTGAAGATCTCAAGATAAGCTCATCCTGGATATCCAGGTGGGCCCTAAATCCAGTGACAAGAGCCCTCATGTGGTAGAAGAGGAAAGACACAGAGAAGAAACCCACACAAAGATGGAAGCACAGACTGGAGCAGTGTGGTCACCAGTCAAGGAATACTGGGGCTGGAAGAGACAGGAAGGAGTCTACCCTGGGCCTTGGAAGTGAGTGTAGCCATCCCAGTGCCTTGACTGGAGACTTCTGGCCTCTGGAACTGAGAGAGTATACTGCTATGTGGCTTTTCCTCCCTGCTTGATGCTGGCTGTGGAACCCAGGACTTTGCACAGGAAATGTGCTCTACCACTAAGCTCCGCCTCAGCTCCACTGCTATTGTTTTAAACCACCATGTTGTGGTCATTTGTTGGGGCAGTCCTCGAGAGCCAAGGCAATGTCCCTGAAGTCTGGACTTCCATCCCCGCAGTGGTGAAGCCCTGTGCAGCAGGCGCTGTGTGGAGCCAGCCGGGACTCACCGACTCTCATAGCGCTGTTGGTGAAGCGGGGGCTGTGCAGGACCTCCTCCTCATCCAGCTGGCCCAGCACCTTGGCCTGGCGCAGGTAGGGGGTGAGGCGGCTGGGGTGGATGCTCCGCACGATCTTGTAGCGGTGGCTCTCCATCAGCTCCCACAGCGTGTCCTCGTCCAGGGCCATGAGCGTGGAGTCTGTGCGGCACAGCTCCGCCATGACTCAGGCCGGGAGGGCTCTGGAAGGGGACAGTGAAGATCCAAAGGAATGGCCTTGGGGGCTGGATTTTCATTCAATCCGCTTTCCCAATTTGCTGGAAGAGAAAGGAACGACTAACTCAGAGGGCACAGTGGGCATCCCCAGAATCCCCACTCTGCTTCCAGCCTGGTCTCCGTGTCACGACCAGTGACAGGCAAATCCATCCTTGGGTCAGGTGTCAGATCAAGTCCCCTCCCTGTGGCACAGCGATAGGAAGTGGTTTCTGCCTGGTGTTAGCGACTAGATTTGCCTTTTGTTGACCCAATAACCACAACGTTAGGAATCAGATCAGGACCACTTGCCTGCCATGCCTGAGGCTCTTGGTTTGATCCCCAGCACCAAAAGAAAAACAAAAATCCCCTACACCCCTCCCAACATCAATTTTCTGAAGGGCCTAGAACACTGTATTCAAGGGGGTATTCAAGGAGACTCCCAAAGGGGTGACAATGGACTAGGGGTAAAGTTTGGTGCTCTTCAAGGCACAGATGTACATTAACAGAATACACAGTGTATTTGGATACCAGTATTTCAAGGGAAGGCCATCAGGGAAAAGCTGTCTGAAAGGGCTCCTTAGGGAGTGACAATGAAACGAGGTTGAAGGGGGTGGGCTGTGGCTCAGTGGTGTGATGTGTACTCTTGACTGTCAATTTGATTGGCTTGAGAGAACCCTAGAAGACAAGCAGGCACACTTCTAGCTATGTCTGAATGAGTCATGGAGCTGAGACACCGGGACTACATTCGGTCCCCGGCCCCTTCCTGTCTGGCACTGTTCCCCTGTGCTCTGCTTCCTGGCTGCCATGAAGTGAGCAGCTCTGCTTCCGCCATGATGTTTCTTCCTTGGGACAGCTGACTATGGACTGATCCCTCTGAAACCATGAGCCAAATTAACCTCTCTAAGTTACAAGTATCAGGGATTTTGTACCAGTACCAGGAAACTGACTAATACGCCTAGCTTGTGTGAGGCCCTGGGTTCCCATCCCCAGTACTGCAAAAAATAGGAAAGGAAAAATAAAGAAGCCTAAGAAACTGCCCTAGAATAAATCTGAGCATTTGGATACTGGGTCCAGCAGCCAGAAGTGTTTCCTGTGTCTACTGACAGTGGGTGTGGCCTGGACGGAGTCAAGTGGCAGTCGGGTGAGGAGTAGGGTCAAGAGACATGTTGTGGAATGGCGTGCACGTGAAAAGTACACTGTTGGTATCGGTGTGGTGAGCACTTGTGATTTTTTAGCATGGAGGAAAAAGTGCTTTGTGAGGGGCTGGTGGGCCCTTTCTGGTCAGAAGCTAGACGGGGAGACATTCCCTGTCCTTTCTAGTGGTGGCTGTGACATCACTGAGCACCAGCTGGGGTGAGAGCACCTGCCCAGATCTGAATCCAGCCACGGAGCAGGAGGGGGGCTCCGGGCAGTGTTGAGGGAAGGCTCACACCCACCACAGAGCGCAGCTTTTACAGTGCTGCTTTAGAGAGCCCAGCTGTGTCTTGGTTTGCAGGCTAGTCAGGGAGCTGGAAGGAACTCCTTCCCCTCTGCACGGGTCCCTTTCTTCAGTCATTTTACAACAACCTCTACGGGTTTTGCCGTTTCTGGTTTCCATATCTGTTTAATGTGACCCCCAAGCAAGGTCACAAAGTCTTACCTTTCTGTGTCAGTTGGAGCTTTTCCTAAATTAAAAAAAAATTAGAATAAGTAAATATTTTGGAAAAGTTCATCTAAAATAATGCAAGTTGGGCCGGGGATTTAGCTCAGTGATTTCACGGCCTGCTGCGCAAGCACAAGGACCCGAGTTCGATCCGTAGTACCAATAAATAAATAAATAAATAAAATAACACAAGTGGCCCTGAGTTCCAGAAATATTGCTTTCTACACTCATTCATGAACATTGGAAGCAGGACTGTTGGCTTCTCTGGACCATGAACTCCAGAAAGTGGACAGAGCAGACAGGAAAGGACCGAAGTGAAAGAGAGGCGTCTCGCTCGAGGCAACTGGCTGAAGGGTACAGGGGTCCCAAAGACACAGGCGAAGTGGGGTACAGGGCCCAGGAGCCAGGAAAGGAATGGTTGCATGCTGAACCCCCATAAGGCTCGCGTCATGGCTTTTAAACACTCATAGGTTTTCCTAAAATAAAATTCTCAGAATGAAAAAGGCTTGGCCTCTTATTTAGGGAGTGGAAGGAGGTGGTGGGGTGAGGAGCCCACCCTTGAAGCTTTTAGAGGACCGACTTCTCTAGAGTAATCCTCCCTAACAAAACAGGCGGAGTGACTTGGATCGTGCCCCTGCAAATGCACGTCCATCCAGGAGTTCGGAACGTGGCTGGGGTTGTAAACAGACGCTGTGTAAATGTGAGAACTTAAGAGGAGGTCAGTCTGGATTACAGAGAGCATTAACGCCAAGGACTGCTGCCCCTCCAAGAAGAGAAGGGACAGGGAGACAGAGAAAAAAGCCAAGTGACAAAGGAGACAGAGACGGGAGGAACATCGCTTAAGCCAAGAGCACAATCCCAGGAGCAGGGAGTGCCAGGAAGGAGGCCACCCAAGGCCCTGTGGACTCTTTGACCCCAGACTTTGGCTCCCAGAACTGCTGGAGAATAAGCATTTGTTGTTTGAAGGTGCCCGGGTGGGGGTGTCAGGAAGATGTTGGGGAATGACACTTGTAAAAGAGGATTCTAAGGATGAAAGCGACAACACTGTAGGAAAGGCCCTGACAGAGGGTGGTGGGCTCTGTGGGTTGAAAAAGGCAGAGAAACAGAGCAGACGGCAGGATGAACAGGCCCTGGCTGGCCAGGGAAGCAGGGCAGGCTCCACCACTGCGTACACAGGCCCGGCTCTGTTGGGACAAAGCACAGCAAGCAAGCCCTGGAAGGCGACCCTGCAGGTGACAGGCAGGCCAGCCTAGGACCTGAGACCTTGGGTTGGGGTGGGGCTTAGGGCCAGCTGCTCGGCCTCCAGCCCAGCATCCGGGCTTTGTCGGGGAGCTGTGTCCACAGCCATGTTCCCCTGGGGCATGTTTTGCCTCCCTGTGCGCTCAAGATCAGTGGCCCATTAACCTATCTTAATACTGTCAGGCTGTTTTAGACTGTGGACTATTTCAGGCCTGTAAGAAGGTCCTGCAGATGACTTGATGAACAGCCGAGAACCCACCAGGCAGAGTCCACCATCTCAGCACTTTGCCCTTCAGGTTTCCTTTTAAGGGACTGCACCATAGGAGACACCTGGCACCTCTTCCTCCTCCTCTGTCCTTTTCCCTCCCTTTGCATCCATAGGTAACCGCTATTTTAAAAATCGTTTCCAAGGGCCGGGGATTTAGCACAGTGGTTCTGACACCTGTCTCCCAAGAGCAAGGTCCTGAGTTTGATCCCTGGTATCAAAAAAAAAAAAAAAAGGAATCATTTCCTACAGATCTATGTGACTAGCAACAGTATATATCGGTAGTAATTTTGTGTGATACTTTACTTACACAGTAACTTTATAGAGAGAGTATTTTTACTATGAGCTCTCACTTTACATAAATACTGTCATCCTGCACAGGGTAATACATGTTTGGAGGTTGATCTTTCTTCTTCTTCTTTTTATTTTATTTATTTAATTTTTTTTAGTGCTGGGAATGGAACCAGGGCCTTGGCATGCTAGGCAAGCAGTCTGTCACTAAGCCACCCCTCAGCCCACATTTTATCATGTTGATAAAATGTGCACCTGCAGCTCCATGCACTCATGTTCTTTTCTAAACCTGAAGGAAACACAGCCAGAGTAGCGATCCCCCTGGGGAAGGACATTAGGCCCTTTCTAGTTTTCCTCTGCCACATACAGTGCTGTTTGGATACCCTCGGCATCTCTGGGCACAAGTGGGGGCATTTATTAGCCCATACATTCCTGTGGCTTGATTCCTTTGGTTTGGAAAGGCAGGCTGGCCCGGGCAGAGTTCGATGCTGCTCAAAGAGGTCTGTACATTAAAAACGTTTGGAAAGCAGAGCAAATCAACCCTTGTAATCTAAAAACCAGAGAATGACGGTGGGAGAGTCCTGTCCTGGGAGCCCAGGCTGCAGCAAGCACTCACCAGGAGAGGTTCACATTCGCGTCTGCATGAGCGCTTGGCAGCGGGCTCAGCTTCAAGAGGCCCAAGCCGGTGTGCCGCTGGCTCCTTTCCCCCTTTCCCCGCAGGCTGCTAGTGGGACAGGGCTGGACAGGAAGGGCTGGAAGCCAAACCAGTTCCAAGCAGAAGTGACAACTATGGCAAGCCACGTGACCAGTTCTGAAAATCAAAGTTCAGGCACCAAAGCCTAATGCAGGTGATAAAGGAAAAAAAAATAGGAGGAATGATCAAAGTATGCGGTGTGCATGAATAAATATGCCATTACAAGGAAAGATAAAGCTGAAGTGCAGCTCAGTGGTGGACTACTTGCCTAGCGTGTGCGAGGCCCTGTCTAACTTTCTCTGCCTCTCCCTCATGCTCCTAAAATACTTTTCTCTGGTGAGAAGTCAAGAACCTGCGTGGGCCATGTTGAGATCCCCACCTCCTCTTGAAGAGGACCTCCTCAGACCTGTCTAGCGATGCTTCTCCCAAAGGAGGAGGAGAGACGCAGACACAAGAGAGACGCACATGACAATGTGGCATCCCTCCACACACACTACGGACTTCCGGACACAGTCAGCAACACAAGCGCAGAGAAAGGTGTGAGGCAGCTTCTCTCCTAGAGCTTCCCCAGAGAGCACGGCACTGCTGGCCCCCAGAACTCTGAAGGAACACAGTGTCTGCAGTTAGAAGCCACCCAGCTTGCAGTAACTTATTGTGGCAGAAAACACACAATATACACATGGCAAAGGGAACTGGGAAATGGACCGAGCCCGGGAGTGCCATCCGTCTGCACAGATGGGCTGCCATGGGAGCTTCCATGGAAGGCTCTTGCGCTTCTCCACGGTCAGGTCTGATCCCCACATCAAAGCAACATTCCACTCAGTTTGGCCCCAGCCATGTAATCTGCAGAGCCCAGAGAGAAATAAAAACACAGTGCACTTGTTTAAATAAAGTATCCAGAGTTCCAGGCAATGACAGCAGAGCAGCCAACCAAGCACAGGGCTCTGGGCATACACCGGAAGCTGGCCCTGCTTTGATTGACTGGGGGTTTTTGGGACCCCGACATCCACCAGGAAAGTAGCCTGGGAAAGTTTCCTTTAGAGGTCATGAAAATGTCCTGGAGTTGACTGTGTTGCCATTTGCATGCACCTGTGAATACCCTAAACACACTGACTTGGACATCTGAAACTGGTGAATTGTAAGGCGTGTGAGTTATAGTCAATAAAGTTATTTTTTTTAAAAAGGCTCTGGGAGCCTAAGGCAGGAGGATGGCAAGTTTGGGCCCAACCTAGACTTTTTAGTGACTTAGTAAAACTCTGTCTCAAAATTAAAAACAAAACAAACAAACAACAACAACAAAATCAAGGGCTGGGGTTCTAGCTCAGTGCAGAGGACCTGGATGGTCACCCAGGCCACCCTGAGGCCAGTGCTGGCTGCCTGCCATGTACGGGATGCCAGCCCTTCCCCTCCTAGGCCCAGCCTGTCCCACTGCTGGGCGCCCAACTGTCCTGTGCCACCACTCAAGCCGAGTCCCTTTCTTGCCAGCTCCTGCCTGCTGCCCTGCAGGGGCTGAGCAGGGCCACGGTTGCCTGCCTGCCCCCTCCTGCCCGCTCCTCACTTCCTCATTCTAGATTCCTCGTTCCTCCCTGTGACCTCCCAGGAATGTGCCTGCCTGCCACAGAGGCAGCGGAGGGCCCTGGCACATTCTCCAGTCACAGCAGAGTGTGCCTGCCTTGGTCAGATTCAAAGCATCAAATCAGTGTAAATGCTGATCTGATGGTGCAGAGGGAGATAGAGACTCACTCTCTGCCCAGTTCCTGGCAAAATGAACACAGAAATGTTTTTAAAAAGTCAAACCTGGGTGTGGTGGTGCATGCCTATAATCCTAGCCATTCAAGGCAGAGGCAGGAGGATGGAAAGTTTGAACCTAGCCTGGGCAACTTAAACTCAAAATAAAACAAAAAGGGCTGGGAGTGTAGCTCAATGCTCCCTGGATTCAATCCTTGGTAAGGAAGAAACATTTTTTAAAGGAAAAAAATGAGCCTGGCATGGTGGCACATGCCCATAATCCCAGCACTTGGGAGGCTGAGGCAGGAGGATTGCTGAGGGTTGGAGGGCAGCCTGGGCTACATAGTGAGTTCAAGACCCGCCTGGACTACATAGCTAGACCATGTCTAAGAAAAACAAAAAAGGCCATACACACACACACACACACACACACACACACACACACATGCACGCAGGCACACACACAAAGGAAAAATCACTTCTTGCAAGAAGCTTTGATAGGCAGAAGGGAAGTGACACAGCAGGATGGGCCCTCAGGGACAGAGGAGGAGAAGGGCTGGGATTCTCCTGCTACATGGGGGGAAGCCTGGGGAGATGGAGGTATCACTCCCCCACACACACGCTTCGTCCTGCACCTTCAGCAGGGTCCCCCGCACAGGGGAGGGGAGGGCCCTGCCCCAGCAGATCACCTGCCACCAGGCAGCCCACCCTTCTGCACTCCTTTAACAGCATCCCTGGTGCTCGATCCTCGTGGGGATCCAGTCCTCAAGCGAAATAAAAAGATTCTCCACCTTGACAAAGTAAAAAACAGTACAAGCACCAGAGATCTGCAAGGCAGGCAGGACAACAGGAGGGAATGTAGGTGTGGGTTCAGAGGGTGGCCACTGTTGAAAGGGAGGAGTGTCCACTGCATACCTGTCACCACTTCAAAAGGTTTTTAGTATCTCTTACCTAAATCTTTGTGGAGGTTTTGACGAACATATAGGAGAGAAATATTTGTATTGTATTTAGCAATTTCTGCATTTTTAATAGTTTTAATTTAAGTTAAATTTAAATTTTAGGGTCAAATCATGGAGAACACAATCCCATTTTTTATAAAATGTTAGTCTATCTATGTCTAGCAGTTGCTCAATCTGTGTACCCATCCCACCTCCCATCCATCCATCCATCCATCCTGTGTCTGTGTGTGTATGTGAAAGAGAGAGAGACAGAGAAAAACAGAGAGACAGAGAGAGAGAGAGAGAGACAGAGAGAGAGAGAGAGAGGGAGGGAGGGAGAGACAGACAGACAGACAGAGAGAGGCAGAAAGGAAAGGAAACAGAAAGACAGAGACAGAAACACGAGGGAGACCCAGAGCCCATTGCTATTTACCATGGTAGAACAAAGCTATTCCTTTCTTCTTTTTTTGGCACCGACCAAACTTTTTAGAATGAGCAAATGCAGGTTCAATAAAAGCCATGAAGTCATTATTTCAGAAATAATAAAATTAATTCAGTGGTCCAACAGAGAAGGAAATGAGCTTTATCCTAGAGGCGAGGGATGTAGCTCAGTGCAAAGGACCTGGCAGAGGTGATGCCCAGGGTCCTGTTTGTGCCTCCTATCCTGGTGGAGGCAGCACTGGTGCCCTTCTCTCTCTAAAGTGACTGGGTTTGGGTGCCAGGGCGCCGTGGGGAAGGCACTGGTAGGTGGCAGAATGGAAATGTGTCAGCCTGGGGAGGAAGGGCATCTCTGCGTGTGCACCGGGAAGGGTGGGAGAGAGCAGAGAGTGGCCGCTGCCTGAAGTGAGGAGAGTCCCAGAAAAGCCACGAGGAGGGAGAAAGGACGAGGTATGGTTGGACCAGGCCGGCCTGGGACAGGAAGGTGACCAGGACCAGTCTTGTGGCAGGATTCCTTGACTGTCTACTCATAAGGGGGCGCGGCGTCTTCATAAAATCTTTACATTCCTTTAGATTTGCTGCCAAATCTCTTATGGAATATCCTCTTAGGCAGGCATTGAGCCTGACCAAGCCTGCCCTTCAAAGGAGATGGAAAATGCATTGTGACCTTTGACTCCGGTGGGTGGCCCTGTGACTAAGTTGGTGCCAAAGAACCAAGGACCCTATAACCAGGCTCCCAGAATATTAATTTTTGTTCTCAGCAAATTACACACTGGCCAGATCACCCTTACTTCACTGCATCGAGAAGCCGAGGGCAGCACCCCAGGCTGCAGCTGGACCTTGAGGAGCTGCAGACACTTGGTCTCCCAGGGGCCCTGAGCCCTGGTGCTGGGGCCACAGGCAGTGTGTCTGTGGCCCGACTGCCGTCCCCTCCCCCAGAGGGCTGCAGGACTCCTTGCAAGGCTTGACCCACTGCTCTTGGGCCGAACCCCAAAGTGGACTTGGAATGTCGGATGTTCTCTGGGCTCTCCGAACCCCCAAACCCCTGACCCTGCTCCAGGCTTCTGCAATCCCAAAGCCACGCTAGGGCCAGGCCTAGGTCAGTGGAGCTTGAGACAGCAGCCATCTGATGGGAATCAAGGGAGGAACCATGTGTGCACACACGTGCATGTACACACACACTCACTCCACGCTAGACCGGGAGCAGTGGGGATGGAGTTAGGGAAAGGTTGGGGAAACTGATGATCCGTGCACATGTTGCACAGGACAGAGGGGGCCGACGGTCACACCATGCCAGGACGCCTGGCTGCGCCCACCTGTCCTCAGAGGCAGCCTCTCCCTTGCTGTCGTGCACCTGAGCTGGGTGGGGAGCCTGCCTCCCCGTATCACCCTGGGGTGGTGAGGAGACCGGTGACAAAACACAGCTGAACTGTCTCAAAGTGGCACTTAGCCGCCCAGGATGGTCAGGCACCACAGGCAGGCACCAGGGACAAGCTGTTTCGTCCTCTTTCCCACAAAACCACACCGCCCATGGCCCGAGTGGGGGAGCAGCTGGCCCCTCTCAACCCCCGCCTTGGCAGCTTGGGGCCCTGCTGACCTGTTCATTGTCCCTCTGCCGTCTGCTCACAGGATACACTCCGCATTGGCCTTCCTCTCCCTGCGCAGCAGCGGTGACTAAGGCACAGTCCCAGGCTGGGCTCGAAGTGGCTGACGAGCAGGTTTGGCACGTCAGCCTGGGCTCTGCCCACAGAAGCAGGGCCAGGGCTGCACGTCCTACTGGGCTCGGCCTTCCGGGGGTGAGAGCCTGGGGGAGAACTTCAGGCAGAACTGAGGATCCTCTCCCCTTTGTGGACAGTCAGCCCAGTTCATCCCAGTGCTACCCTCAGAATAACCCTGAGGGTAATTTCTGGGCACTTGTGATCCATCATGGGAAGTGTCTAAGCAGTACCCGTGACCACACCTAAAACCAGCGTTGCACAACTGTGATTTTGGTTTAAATAAAAGTCTTGGTTCTTCCATGTTGAGCTATCTGGGATCTGACAGCTTCTGCCCCCTGTGTTGTGTGCCCGGATCACTGCCCCTTAACTCTGCAGTGGTACCTACGTCCTCCTCCTGTGCCACTGCTGCTCTCCACACAGCAGGCAGGCGATCCTGCCTGTGTTCAAGGCTGAGTCTGTGCAGCTCGCTCCCTTCCGTGTGCTGGTCCAGTCCTCAGCGTGGCCCAGGAGTCTTGTTCATCCATACTTGGTGACTCACACCCCCTCATTGCTCCAGACACAGGGGCCTCCTTGTGAGTCTGGATCTTCCAAATACACTCGGCCTCAGGGCCTTTCCCTCTTCCTGGAACACTCTTTCCTTTACTCCCTTCTAGACAATGCTCAAAGGCCACCTTCCCAGAGAGGCCTTCTCAGATCATTATATTTAAAATCATAGACTTCTCATCCTGGCCCTCCTTCCCCCTTGCCCTATGTAGTTTTCTTCTGTGGGACTTAGGTGAGTGGAGGAACCTTACGGATGTTTTTTCTAGACAGATGGAAGTTGGTTTCTGAGGACACGCAGCTGGTTCATCCCGAAGTCCCTCTTCCCGCTGAAAGGAGGGGTCGCTGCTGTGGCAGAGGGACCCAAGTTCTGTGGTCAGGTCAGAGGTAGCTATCCAGCCAGGGCCAGAGCCCTGCTATGCATCAGCTATGGCGTCCCCCGGCCCCTAGGCCTCTGCCTTCTTACATCTCCAGCAGGGTAACTAACAGTTCCTGCCTCATGGTGAGAAAGCACATCTCACGGTGCTTCATGCATAGAAGGTTCTGGATGGTTCTGGAAAATGCAAAGAAACACCAAAGCTCCAAGTCAAAGAGGGAACCAGCAGAGTACACTAGAGGTTGAATACTGGGTCCTTCAGAAAACATGATTTCTCCAGAAGTACAGAGAGCCACAGAAACAGAGCTGAGGAAGCTCCTAGTCCCCAAAGCACCATGAGCTTTTGGAGGGCAAAAACCATACCTAAGTCCCCAAGGTGATCTCAGGGGGACCAAGTGACAGTACTCCACAGGACTACAGCTACGTGCCAGGGGCAATTAAAACAGGGTGTGGTTTCTTGGACAGGCTGGTGTACTGCCTGGAGAAATACCTGTGTGGGGGATGGGCTGGGGCAGCTGGTGACGCCCTAATAAGCTGGTGGCTTTAACAAGAAGGAGCCATTGCCACAAACTGGACCTGGGTCAGCCATAGAGTTCTTCTGGGCAACACTTCACTTATCCACAAAATTTGAGGGTTAGGTCTAAAAAAAGATGATAAAGTCAGTGGCAGACTATTACTAGGCAGGAAGAAGAGGGAGCAGAGGGAGTATAAGGGTGGGTTGTGGGGGATGACTATGATCAAAATACCTCACACACCTTGTGCACTCCCCGAAATGTGAAGCTGGGGGCTGGGGCAAGGAAGGTGTTTGGGAAGAAACAAATAAAGTATGTTGTGCGCATGTACACATCTGCCAAAAGGCAACTCATTCGTGGGTGTAACTAACATGCACTACTAACAAATGTGGGAGACAGTTTGGGGGAATTTGCGGGGAGAGCTTCACGCTTTGCCTTGAAATCAAGCAGCTGGCACCAGTGGAGAGGTAAATAGAAAGAGCCCGTGAGAGGGAAGATGAGACCTGTCCCAAAGGCCCGCAGCGCAGCGTGGGAGTGGAGGTGGAGGCACCGTCGGGGCAGGGAGCAGGTGCCAAGCAAGGTCTGGGGTGGCACAAACAGGGAGGGCTCTGGCTGGCCACAGCCGTCCCTGGTCATTGGAGGAGCGCAGGACTTCCTCCAAGGCACCCGAACGGGGTTCTCAGTGTCCCTGCTGGAGCCCCGAGCAGGCACGTGCCGGCTGTGGACGCTGTCTCCACACTCATTCCTGATGGCACCAGCGCAGGGAGCGCGCCTGGGAAGGACTGTAAGAGACTCCTGCCACAGGAGCAGGTAAAACAGGTCTGTCCGCTCCCCGCTGCTGTACACAACTTGGCACACCTGCCTCCCACCCCACCGAGCACCTTGCATTTATCCAGCCAAGTCACACTTCCTGTCTCTTCCTAAACTGTAGTGGAATTCGTACAGCAGAATAGAACCCACTTTTTAAAATTATTCTTTATTTTTATTTTTTGGTACCAGGGATCGAACTCAGGACCTTGTGCTTGCAAGGCAGGCGGTGTCACCACTGAGCTAAATCCCTGGCCCTAGAAACCACTTTAAAGCGCACCATTCAGGGGCACTTAGTACGTTCACGTGGCGTAGAACCTCCACTTTGACCTTGTTGCAGAACACTTGCATCACCCCAATGGGAAGCTCTACCCCCACTAGCAGCTCTGGGCCTGGGGTTTGGGTTGGGCCCATTCCCTGGCCACTACCTGTCTGTTTTCTGTCTCAGGGGTCCTCCTGTGCCACACAGTTCATGTAAGTGGGGCCATATAATGTGTAACCTTTTGGGCCTAGCTTCTTCCACAGGGCATCCTATTTTCCAGGTTTCTCCATATTATAGTTGTGTCCATGCTTCATTGCTGTTTATGGCTGCATGCTATTCCACTTGGTGCTCGGTGGCCATTGGGCTTGTGCGAATAATGCTGTCACCAACACAGGGCACCCGTACTGCTCAGGCTTGCTGACCTACTGATGCTCACCCTGCAGCTTTTCCATCTCCTAAGCAAGCTGCCCAGCTGCTCTGTCCCTCGTCATCGCAGCAGAGCCCTGCACGCACTGTCCCTGCTTGGACATACCTCCCCTGCGAGTCACTGTGGCTACTTCTTCTCAATTCAGCTGACACCTCCTCCGGGCACGGAGTAAATAAGGACCCAGTAACTCTTTCCAGTAGCAGCCCCATCTTATTGCATCATGATAATTATACAGCTTACAAGTATTTCGTTTGCAGATTTTGTGGGGCCTGCCCTCCTCTGGGACACAAGCTCTGTGAGAGCAGACACCACCTGCGCACCCCTCTAACGCCAGCAGCTGAGCAGCTCCTCGCACACTGCCACCTGGCACACACTTACCCGGGTGGCACAAGTGTCCCGGAGGCAGGCAGCAGTGAGGTGCGGTCAGTGGCACCTAGTAGGTGACCCGCCCCACAGGTGGGTTTGGAGAGGGCCCTACCTAGAAAGGAACAGGGTTCACCCTTTGACACTTGGTGACGGGCGGGGACCTCTGGCAGGAAGTTGTCCTTCGGGCACAGCCCCTTCCAGGACATCTACTCCTGTGGCGGTGACTCCTTGGAGTACAGCCCAGCCAAGTGACACTGCCTGAACTTCCTCCACTCCCGCACACGGGAGTCACCGTGACCTTCTCACCCCATCCCAGGAGCCTCGTGGGCGCAGGAAGAGAGGTAAGCGTGGTCCTGAGAGGTGTGGGCTGCAGAGGGGTTCCTTCTCCCTGATAGCTGCCCTGTGAACTCCCGGCTGCTCCTGCCCTGCTGGGACCGCGTCTGGAGTCCCTTCCTCTTTCCCTGGGTGTCCACTCAAATGAGCAAGATGACAACTATCTACTGAGCACCCACTATGTGTCAGAGAAACAGTGAGGAAATAAACAGATGTGGACACTCCCCACAATGTAAACTGGGAAGTGGGGTGCTGGCGACAGTGTGCTGAGGAGGGTAATGGGCCTGCCCTCCTTGGTGAGCAGGCTTCTCTTGAGGTGACAGGGGCCCATTTTAGCCCCTCCATGTAGGGTACTTGGACTTAACAGAATGGCCTAATTTTTTCCATCAGTAAAACAATAATGTGTGTCTGCCCTCCCAGGATAATGATGACACTGATGAGAACTGAAACTAATGTGGCAGTTGTAAGCAGTGGATCTTGGAGTGTGACAGTCAATTCTTGCACTGCACAACATAGCTACCCAAGATAAACATCTTGACAAGGCAAGGAACTAAATCGTTTTCTCAACACCCCACCCTAACCAGAGTACAACTGCCTACTAGCATCAAAACGAGGGTCTTCTAATCCTACCAACCATCTATGGGAACATAATTAACATTTTTTCTAGCAGCTACAGTTCAAAAAAAGAAACAGGTGAAATTTAAATATTTTATTTTAACCTGTATTTCTAAAATGGTATTAACATCATTTCAACATGATCAATAGGACATTATTATTATTTGGTCCTGGGGATTGAGTCCAGGGTCTTGCACATGTTAGGAAAGCATTGTGTCACTCAGCTACATGCCCAGCCCTTTTTTGAGACAGGGTCTAAGTTCCTCAGGCTGGCTTCAAACTTGTGATCCTTCTGCCTCAGCCTCCTGAGTAGTTAATATAAAATCATCATCATCACCATCACCATCATCATCATTTGTGCTGGGGATGAAATCTAGCGCCTCATGCATGCTAGGCAGGACTTCATCACTGTACCACACCTCCAGCCCCACGTTCTTTTATTAGGTCACTGAAATCCGGGTTTTACACCTAGGGTTGACTTGCAAAACAATGTGATACACTCAATCCTTTGCTGAATGACACGACACGAGAACCCGTATTTACATTGCATTTATTCTAAAGTCTAAGAAAGCTTCTATGTATAATATGTGTGTGTGGTGGTGGTGGTGGTACTGGGGGTGGGACCCAGGGGCTTCACACTGAACTACATCCACAGCCTTTTCTATTTTTATTTTAGTGACTTAAAATACAACTTGAATTTTTGATCCTCCTGCCTCAGTCTCCCAGAGTGCTGAGATTATGGGCATTTGGGACCACACTTGCCTAAATATTTATTTATTTTTTGTACCGGGGATCGAACTCAGGACCTTGAGCTTGCGAGGCAGGCGCGGTGCCACTCAGCTAAATCCCCGGCCCTAAATATTTAATATTTTGATTAACAGTGGCATTCTTGTCAGGCATGTTTATCATGACATTTATCTGGTATGGACAAATTCCGCCCCCTGAATGAGAGCTTTGCTCGCTGAGAAGACACATTTACTTGTTCACCGTGGCCATACTGCAACCCAAGATTTC